ATGGTTCTTTGTGGGAAATTGCTGTGAATATATTGGCTGCCACATTTTCCTCAATACACATCCTTTACAGTGAATCCTGTGAAGCGCTTTGAGATGTCCTCCCAATGTGAAAAATGCTTATCAAATGCAAGGATGATGATGAATGCAGTGCTTTCAGCACTGCACAGGAATGTCAACCTAGCTTGGGCTCAGAGTCCCGATATGGGGCTTAAATCCGCAAGTTTCTAAGCCAAGATGAGAATGCTACTCACTGAGTGAGGATGATTCAATCTAATATCCTTACTTGACTTTTATCATTTTAACAACAATTTTCCAGTTGTGAAGGGCAGAACAGAATTGCCACCAGTATCTCAGAAAGTATTCCTTTCCACAGATGTTAATGAACAGAATGGGTTGCTAGATATAGTGTTTGAAACCAGGATGCTGGTTTCATGTAAGGAATAGGTTAATGCTGGAAGTTGGTAGTCCGAATAATTATATCAAGTGGATTGATATGATTCATTCAGATTGCATCATGTTTATTTAAGAGTTCAAAGTATATTTTATTTGCTTGTCAGGTTTTTATAGTTTTAGATTGATATGAACTCTTCAACTGCAGTGAAGCCAGTAATCTTTCTGAGTTAAACATTATTGTGCACTGGGTTTGACTGTGAAGAAATTGACCCAATTTATATTGCTTGTTAAAGTTTCACTATCTGTCAATTATCTTTGTGTTGAATGTTGAGAAAACGATAGGATGGATGTTCTGGAAGATAAGATCAGATGGGTCAAAGGACCTTCTTCATCCAAAACGATCTTTGTGATCATAAGAACATAAGAAATGCTAGACGAAAAAAGACCAAGGTCCATCTAGTTCACCTTCCAGGTGGTTGCGTGGATATATGTCCCAAACTACCTTTGTACTATATGCCACAATGTTACTTCCTAAATCTGTGTTTGAAAGAATCAACACTTCCTGCTTCAACCTTCTCCCTAGGGAGCCTGTTCCACAGGTTCACTATTCACTTACTCAAATAGTGTTTGCGTAGATTTGTTCTGAATTTAACCCTCTTTAATCGCAGGCCATATCTTCTGGTCTTACTATTCTGGACAAGTTGAAACAGCTTATCATGATCTAGATTGTCTTTCCCCTTTAGAGTCTTAAAGACAGCAATCATGTCACCTCTCAATCTTCTTTTTTCCAGTGTGAACGTGCCCAATTTACTTAGTCGCTCTTCATAATCCAGTCCTTCCATTCCCTCAATCATTTTGGTTATCCTTCTCTGTATCGTCTCAATTTCTCCAATATCCTTTTTGTACTGCGGTGAACAGAACTGTACACAGTACTCCAAGTATGGTCTCCCCAATGATTTATACAGTGGCAGGATTACCCCACTATTTCAGCTTGCCATTGATTTTTAGATACAACCCAACATCTGGTTTGCTTTATTCACTGCCACAGAGCATTGTTGGGAAAGCTTTAATTTATGGTCAGTCAGGACTCCCAGTGTTTCTGCGATTTCCTTCCCTTTAAGGATCCTCGGACACAATTTATCTGGCCCCTGAGATTTATTTATCTTGAGTTTACACAGCTGTTTGGCAACCATACAGGTGATATGAATACTGTCATAACTTTTCTCTGCCACATCCTTAGGTTCTCTTTCCAGATCAGACACTCATACAACCACTTATACACACAGAGGATAAAGCACAGAGCAAACCAACTCCATACAAGACACCCCAGGCTTCAATCCTGAAGCCACTTATTCAAAAAACCTACACTTTATTGGAACAAGCTTTCACTTTCCTGCCAGGAGTTGTATTATGATCATACAGCCTTTCATTTCTGGATTTTCTATGGAACAACAGGAGACCCAAATCATAGTTAAAAAGAGCTTCAACGAAGGGAATATTTTTTGGGAATCTTGATAGTCTGCACTGCAACTTCCCCATCCACCTGAACCCCATCCTGAAACACTTAACAAAACGAGTCAAGCGCTCCGGGATGCTTCCCTGCATGAAGAGCACGAGTCAGCGAGCGGCGGGGCCTCAGAAAATCACTGTAAACCGAGTGGGAGATGCAAGGAGCGAGGGTTGAAGGTTCTGGTCGACGAAAGCCGGGCGAGGTTGGCCACAGGCGGGGCGAGAAATTTCAAATCACCCGCCTGTATAAAGGGTGCGAGGTACCGCCGAGGCCACGGGTAGTCGAACCAGCAGTGGTGAGCGACTGGCGAGGCGAAGGTTCGGCTGCTTCAGGCGCAGAGACGGCATTTCAAAATCCCCCGCCTAAAAAATGGCTGAATCTTGCTGGCAGACGTCACTTCCGGGTATCATTTTCAAAACTGTCCAAATACATATTGGTATGACGTCACTTCCTGGTGCCTTTTTCAAATCCGCCAGGTAGGGTAAGTATAGTATATGTTCTACTAATCTTCTGCTACCTTGTCCTACCTTCCCTCCTGGTCTTTGGTACCTAAGTTATGACTACTATCCCCCCTCTCCCCACCCTGCAATGTCTCCTGCCCCCCACCAACAAACCTATCCACATTTCCTTCCAAAATATCCGTTCTCTCTCCAACAAAGCCCTTAACTATCCATGACCTCATCCTAACAGAGACAGCGCTTGTCAAAGCCACAAACAACATTCTCTCTATCTATGACCAGGGCTCCCTCTGCCTCCTCATCCCCCTGGATCTCTCTGCTGCGTTCAACACAATGGACACAGCTAGCCTCCATTGGCTCTCATCCCTCATCTACCTTAGTGGGACCACACTTGCATGGTTCAAATCCTACTTAACCAACCACCTCATTTCATCTCAGCAAACGATTTCTCCTCCCACCCCTGCCCAGTCACTTGTAGGGCAACCCAGGGCTCCATTTTTGGCCCTCTTCTTTTCCTTATCTACATGCTCCATCTAGGCGATGTCATCTGCAGACACGGGGTAAACTTCCACATGTATGCGGATGACACACAAATCTACTTTGCCTCCTCCAGTATCAACTCTAGGTTGGCTGATGTTCTATCAGCTTGTCTGGATGAGTGTAAACTTCCTGCAGCTGAATATGGACAAGAGGAAGCCATACTCCTTGGCTCCCATCAATGTCTTCACTCCTTAGGATCTAAACTCCTCAACCTCCCTGGGCTCTCCCTCAGACTCACCGAATCAGTGCACAACCTAGGTGTCTGGTTCAACCCCCAATGGTCCTTCCTCTCCCACATCTGGTCCCTGAACAGGATCACTGTCTTCCACCCCCGCCACATTGCCCGCCTCCGACCGTACTTTACCCCAAGTGCGGCCGAAACTCTGTGCATATGTTTGTCACTTCCCGCTTGGATTACTCTAATGCAATTCTCGCCGGTCTCTTGAGCTCCACCATTCAGAAGATCCAGCTCATTCAAAACTCTGCCGCCCGCATACTGACTCGGCCCAAACTCCGTACCCACACCTCACCGGTTCTGGCCAGGCTCCACATCACCGAATGGATCAACTTCAAGATCCTCACTCTCATGTTCAAATCCATTCATTCCCTGGCACCTCCCTACCTCTCCGATCTCCTCACTCCCCACTCCACCAATGGTGCCTCCTCTCAAGTGGCACTGACCTCTTGCTCGTCCCTCGCACACTTCACCCCACCATAGGAGGTTGTGCTTTCAACCACGATGCCCCAAAACTCTGGAACACTCTCCTTCCGCCTTGCACCCTCTCTTCCCATTTTGAAGTCCAGCCTGAAAACTTTCCCATTCGACCATGCTTAACAGTGGCGGAGCCTGACTCCGGAGTGGGTGGAGGTGGTCATAAGCATGCTCTGTCTTTCCTCACTAGCATATGGTATGGGTAGTCAATCCATTCGGTGATGTGGAGTTTGGCAAGAAGAGGACGTGGGCTAGAGTTCTGGATGATCTGCAGTCTGTGGAGGGAGGAGTTGGGGAGGCCAACAAGCAATGAGTTTGCATAGTCAAGCCTCGATGTAATGAAAGCGTGTATGAGGATTTCAGCAATATGTGGTGTGAGACAGCAGCGGAGCCAGATGATGTTCTGGAGGTGGGGGAAGCCAGAGCGGGTTATGGCGCAGATGTGGGATAGAAAGGATAGTTGAGAGTCAAACAAGACCCCAAGGTTCTGGAATGGCTTATCAAGGTGGAGTGTGCAACCATGGATGGTGATGCTGTCAGCGCCTGAGGTGAGGCGCTACTGACGGGAGCCAATCAGGAGAGTCTCAGTCTTGTTGATGTTCAACTGAAGAAAATTAGCTCTCATCCAGGACTTGATGTCCGACAGACATTCAGTCAGGACAGCAGTGGTCCTGGAATCAAGGGTGGAGGCAGAGAAGTAAAGTTGGGTGTCATCCGCATACATACATACTTGTGGATGATGTCACCAAGGGGAAGCATATAGATGTTGAAGAGGAGGGGACCAAGGACAGAGCCTTCAGGAACGCTGCACAAGATATTGCGGTGGCTAAAGAAGAAACCATTTGTGTAGATGAAGTGGAGACGGTGTAAGAGGTACAATCTGAACCAGTCAAGGACAGAGCCATGAAGGTGGAGGTGAGAGGTGGTGGATGAGGATAGAGTGGTCGACAGTGTCAAAGGCAGCAGAGAGGTCAAGGAGGACAAAGAGGCAGCAGGAGCCCTGGTCACAGGGGGATAGAATGTCATTTGTCACATTGGCCAGAGCTGTTTCTGTACTGTGGGCCACACAGAAAAACATTGGAGGGGGTCGTGAAGGGAGTGGCAGGGATTTGCCAATTTGGCTGGTTTACCTGTTTTTCTTGAAAAGTTCTCTCTTGTTCAAGAAACAATTCCCACGCTTCTGCTGAAAGAAGGGGCTCTCTCTTGCTCAAGAAATCCCTCTCTCACCAAATTCCTTAACAGAATTCTCATTCTGTTCCATCTCTCTCATTTCCATCCTCACTATGATGGGCTTTATGATCGTTAGATCTATGTCTTTTATCCCATGCTCATGTTGTTTGTGAGATGATGCTGGGGCAGATTGGCTTCCATGGTTGCTCATATAACATTGTGCATTAAATGTTACTTTATTATTTATTTCTATATAATAATTTTCTCTCCTTTTTTAATCATTAACTTATTAATTTTGCCTTGTGATTCAGGTGAATGTTAACAGCCCTCCTCTCCCCTTTCACCCCCAGACTATATAACATTCATTTTGTTCCTAATTACTCTCTTTTTCTTACAGCATGTTATGATTGTTTCTTTCATGTGAAGTGTGTTATCAAGATACACATTGCTGTTACTGACATAGAATCATACAGTGCAGGAATAGACCATTTGCTTCCCATACTGTTCAGTATTTCCAGTTTTTCAAGCACCTATTGAATTCACTTTGAAATATTTTATGGGCTCTGCTTCCACTAGTTTGTGCCAGGAAATTCCAATCAGCCTCCGTACAAACATTATTTGTTATCTACCTTCCCATTTGATATTTGCCATGAGTATATTAAATTTTCATCCTCTTGTTATAGATTTGCTGAACAGTGGAAATAATCTGTTAATATGTACCTGATCATAAACCTACATAATCTTGATGATCTTGATCAGGTCACCCTTTAACTATCTCAGTTGAACAACATTTTGGATCTTGGTTTTTTGTTTGATTTAGCTTCGGGGACAGGGAAAAAAATTACAAACCTCTTCCTCAGTAGATTCAGTGGGCTCAGGGAAAGTCAACGATAGGAGGATAATGCACAATTTGTGTAGCACTAGCAGGTTTAAGGAGCCAAAAGCTTTTACGACATAATTTCACAACACTATTTCTCTTGTTTATATCCTTCACGATATCAACACCTCATCCGGAAGTGGAAGGCCACAAACAGCAGCCATAGCATTTTCAATCATTCGCTCCAACATTTTCTCAGTAGTCTTGTCAGTTGCAGTTCCAAGATGGGGAGTAATTATGGCATTCGACAATTTCAATAAGGGATGGTCCCTGTAACGAAAAAAAATTGAACTTTTGTGAAATCAACTCTTCCATCAATAGTTTATTTCCTCTTGTTCAAAAGAATGGTGATCAACAACAACTAGCATTTATAAAGCACCTTTCATGCGGGTAGTGTCTCTGAGCTCTTAACAGAGGCAGAGCTTCATGCCAACCCGTGGCGAGAGGGGAGGTGTCCGATGACATGGTTGAAAATGATCACGGACCTTGGAAGTGGCTCTGGGTCAGACTTGTCTGGAGCTGCTGTACGAAGGGTATGAGGCACTGTAGCAGTGTCTATTTATAGTGCGGATTATTTGCTGTTTGTCTTTGCCTTTGAGTAGATGCACTTGTGAGAGCAGTTGGCTGACTGACCAGTTGGCTCTTCACGTGCACTGGAACCCGACCAGTCAGGGCTAGAAGCAGAAGTGATGTCAGCAGTGACTTGGTGACCTGGAAGTGGGGCCACCAGACATTGTTAATTTGCCGAACTTTTATAATGATTTTATGGTACCAAAATATCACATTACATTGGGGTTGTGTACAGAGTACTCTGAGTGAGTTACACAGAGTTGATAGTGATACAACATGTAAACAACTCATTCCAACTAGTCCATGGTGTCAATACTCCACATGGTCGCCCCACCCCTCCAATTCCCCTCACCTATTCTTCTAATCCCAGAATGAAAAAGAATCAATAGAAAATGGCCGCATGCTTTACATTTTGGTAAGGGAGAAGATCCATTTTAAAATCCCAAATCAGAGCCTATGTTGAAACATACACAATTCATTTCAGTCATTTGGTAATCTTTTGGTCACAAACCTTGGAAGAGGTTCTGGATCAGTCACATCCAGAGCTGCAGCACGAATAGTACCATTCTGAAGTGCTTTCACCAAAGCGTCCTGATCCACCACTGCACCTAAAATCAGCAACAAGGCAAACTCCATTAGTCAGGGCAACAAATACAAGAAATGGATTGTAAATGTAGCAAAACAAGAATTTTACATACAAAGTACAGTTTTTTTTTACGTTGATTGCAATTGCAGGAATCTGTCCAAAGCTTAACTGTAATTATGACAGCGACTTTTACACCAATTAGATTTTTTTTCTTAGAATTCAATCTGAATTTGAAAGTCGGTCATTTTTAAAAACTGTAAAAATCCAGCTTCCAAATAAGGAATTTTCCACAATTATGTGAGATCTGGGTCGAATATTGGGTCTTATGAATAGTTTTCCAAAGAAGCAAGTGGCAGAACATTCTCCTACCTCGGGAGATATTGACCAGAGTACCAGTGGGTTTCATCAGGCTAAGCTCACGTTCTCCAATTAGTTTCAGCGTTTGAGGAGTCAGATTCACCACCACCATCACAAAGTCTGACTGCCAAAGGAGATCATCAATCTTAGCACAGTAACTCGCATCCACCACTCTCTCCTCCTCCTCTGTCCTAAAGAAAGGTTAAGACAAGTGCAATTTCTGATTTGTCAGGCAGTGATGTTCAACATTTGGTGTGTATCAAATTTTAAAAATGTGTAAATGTTTTGATTAGGAATTGCCCGGAAATCCCAAAGGTGGAATCTGCCCCTCCCCTAAAACTTCCATCATAATACCACCAGTTAGTGGGATCTTAGCTTTACTAAAAAAATTCTCAAACGCAAACCCACAATATCCTTAGCCAACAGCCAAATGCTGTGATTTGTGAGCAGAAGTCTGATGTGGCATTGTGGATGGTGCACTGAATAGCACAGGAAAGTGGAGTTTATTCCCCCACACCCACCTAATTCCTAATAAATACATCACAAATTTCTAAACATAAGCCCCATCAATGTATATGTAAATAAACTTACGTTTGTGTGTCTAGCATTCTGAAATTTTTGTCACTGGTTACTGGTTAATAATTTAAGCAATGAGTCTGCGAAGTCGTGACCTTGTGCTTGTTTCATCCATTTACTGACAACCATGTGCATACAAGTGCACGCAGAATGGAATCAGTCCCGGTTATTCAGAAATCATTGCTGAATGTCAGTCACATCTTCATAACCCTATTTGTGTGTGAAGATATTCCAGCTATTTGTTGTCGTTCTAAATATTTGAACCTGCTTTAGCCTTCTTTTGATCAAATTCATTCATTGTATCTTAGATGTATTGTGTATTACCTCTGTGAATGTTTTGGCTAATCTTTTTCATCTGAATATGCTCTGTATGGAATGGCCTGTCCTCGAGATACACTATTATTTAAATACTGACAGTAGCTTGACCTCCAAGTGAATTAAGTGTTGATTGAAATTGGCTTGTTGTCACAAGGGAAATCCCATTTCTCTGACTACATGTGACGAGCTGTTGTTCAATACAATTACTGGGCAGGCTTTCAACCATTCTGCCCTGGCTCTCCGGGATCCCATCTGGAGTCCTTCAGACTTGCTCCCTCACCTCGGGTAGCCACCCAGCAATGTAAACTCGCTTTGGGACTTCCTGCCAAGGTGAAAAGCACTATAGAATGTAAATTGTATTGTACAGTGGAGAAAAACCAAGTGCTGAACTCGAGCTCAGAAGGAAGGAGTTGCTTATCCGTCTAAGTAAAAAGCAAGATAGTCATCCAGACCTACGCTTGAAGTGAAGTTAGAAAGAATTTGACTGTCTTTATTTGTCATATCCCCATCTGTAGCTGCAAATTAAAGATGTGTTTTGAATTCAAGATCCTCATTCTCACCTACAAGGCCATTCACGGCCTTGCTCCCTCCTACCTCTCCGACCTACTATCCCCCTATTTACCTGCCTGTACCCTCCGTTCCTCTGGCTCGGGACTACTCCACATCCCCCGCCCTAACCGCCCTACCATCGGTGGCCGGGCTTTCAGCCTCTCATCCCCTAGGTTCTGGAACTCCATCCCCCAGTGCCTTCGCCGCTTCCTCCCTTTCCTCCTTCAAGGCCGGTCTCAAGACCTTTCTCTTCAACAGTGCCTTCAGCTCCCCTCTCGACTCTCTGCCCTCTCCTCGCTCCCTCCCTTCCCTCCCCTCACCCTGACCATTTCCCCACTGCTCGGGTCCCGACCCAACTGTCCAGCACCTTGGGATGTCCTCCTGACGTGAAAGGCGCTCTATAAATGCAATCTTGTTGTTGTTGTTTTGAACCAGATGAAAGTATGGAACTCGCTACCCCAAAGGCCTGTTGACGCTCAGTCCTTGAACATATTCAAGACTGAGATAGATAGATTTCTTATTGCAAAAGGGATTAAGGGATATGGGGATAAGGCAGGGTTTGGTTATTAGCTGGAGGTAGATTGGAAGATCAGCCATGATTGAATGGCGGGGCAGGCTCGAAGGACCGAATGGCCTTCTCCTGCTCCTACATGTTATGTTAAATACAACATTGGTCACTGAAATTCTTTATCTCTCACCTTCTGTTCCTATTGTGATAAAGAATCTTCATATCAAATCCTTTAGCTCTTTGTGCAACTTTGTATCCAATCCGACCCATTCCAATGATCCCAAGAGTGGCACCAGTCACCTCCACCCCAACCCAGTTCCATGGCATACATTGAGTTTCTGGTGAAGTTGCAATCTTGAAACCTGGAAATTAAAGAATAACCAAATATTTCAAGAATGAATTCTTGCAGACCTCTGCGCCACAGAGACATCTTTTAACGTTAAATTTTGATCTGGGGGTGATTGATAGAGATCAATGGATATGGAGCCTGCTTAGCGGAGGTAGCGGACAGGTTGATATGTAGTCAGCAAATCGCAGAGGTAGGGTGGGGATGGCCATTGAAGGCCTTGTAGGCGACGACGAGGATTTTGAACTCTGTCCTATCGGGGATGGTGAGTTAGTGGAGCTGGGCGTGAGTGGGGTGATGGGGTCGCGGAGTCTGGTGTGGGAGAGAACATGAGCTGCAGAGTTCTGGATGATGTGCAGCTTGTGGATGGAAGAGTTGGGAAGGTCGACAAGTAGGGAGTTGACGTATTCAAGCCTCGATGTGATGAATGCATGAATGGCCTGAGGGGTGACGCAGTGGTGGAGCTGGACGCTGCTGCTGTGTTGGGGGAGAACAGAGCAGGTCATGGAACAGATGTGGGATAGAAAGAACAGAGGATCAAACAAGACGCCAATAATAATAATTCTTGCATTTGATATGGTGCCATATCACGTCTTCGAGACGTATCAAAGCATTTCACAGAATCAACTGTAAAGCAGAGCGATGTTTGTATATTTTGTGAGTGAAAGGCAGCAGTCAATTACACACAGCTGTCTCCCACAAACAGTGGTGGATTCAGTGACCAAATGTAAAGCTGTGTCAGAGGCCGAAATCCACACAGTCTTGATATTGGTGATAATTCAACATTTTTGGAAGCAGGTTTTCCACAGTTCTTTTATTATAAATTTGCAGATGGGGCCCCATTGTCTATTTTACACAAATATTTTACACTTGCAATGTCACCATCTTACCTTCTATTACATTTCTGGCTGATGCCAGCATTAGTGCCATGCCCATGTCTGCAGTTGCATTGTCCACCAAGTGGGGAGTGTTGGTCACCTTCACCCCAAAACTAGAGATCAGAGGTAGATGGAGATGGTCCACACCAACTCCAGAGCTCACAACTGCCTTCAGTCGGGGTAAAGACTGTAAAAGCTTCTGATCTACCTTTAGACTATGCCCCCACAAAAAAACCACTTGGATTTTATTCGCCAATTCCTCTTTGTTTTTTAGGAATTCATCAAACCAGATGATGTTGAAATGCTTCTTGATAATTTCCGCATGCTCTCTTTGAATGCCCTCAGTATCACTAAGTTTTGAAGATAAAATGTATGGCCGTTCACTCATCGTCTGTGGGAGAAAAATAAAATATACTTCAAAAATATAAAACCATCTGAAGTTTGTTTTGGTAGTCTTGCTTTCTTATGTTTCACTCCTTGATGATCCCATCCAAGCATATTCCCTTTCGTCTAGAATTGGCCGGGGGGGTGAGGGGTGGGAATGAAAATCCATCTACGTCTTTCATCCATATACTTCATTTCTCATTCCCACCACTACCATTTCCAAAAGAAGTTTCAGCTTCTTTCTCACATATCAGAACCAGTTACTCATCTATTAGAAGCTGAGATCTTCTTCTTCTTAGTCCCCTTTTTCCTAACCAACCAGATGTTTCAAAATCCTGATCCGCTCCTTTGGTCTGTGACTCTCTTACAGATCGTTCATTTCATATGATCCCAGTAATCTATTACAATGTACCCAAGGCAATGGTATAAATGATATTTAATAGATAAATCAAGTTGAACTGGTACCATCTAAATGGTCACTCACCATTGTGCTCAGTGCTTGTTTGGCCACATGTGTGCAGCACTGGTTGTGCCAGAGTGTGCAACTCTGCCACTCAGTATTTTTAGCGCTACAACACATCCACAATGACTTCTTCAAACTTGTTGATCTGACTGGGAGATAGAGTATTCTGTTGCAAACACTTTGTTTACAGTTTTGTCTGGTTAGCCCCAGGACAGGGAGTTTTTTGGAAACTTGAAGCAGTGGCCCAGTCCTAGCGAGTGCTGCCATCTCTATTCTCTTTAGCTGCAAAAGACAGTTTGATTGGACAGGCCTAATTACGGCAAGGTAATACAAGGAGTCAAATATAGAGCAACAAATATAAAAGTTACAGAAAAATTTGAGCTACGTCATGTAATTTTTGTTTTAAAACTAGTCACTGTTAATTTAAGTAGAAAAAGCACTCACTGGGAAAACAACAGTGAAAATGAGGCCCACATACCGAACACATTCCACAACACTATTCAAAAATAGTTTGCAAACTGGCTGTTGTATCTGTAGGCAAATGGAACAGTGAGATGCTTTGAGATGTCTTTCTGACATGAAAAGTGCTATATCAAACTCAAAGGTTATTTTTATATTATTCTAAAAGTGTCAATGGGATGTAAAGAGCATCTGTTTCAATGAATCCCATGTATATCACACAAACCCTTGTGAGCTTGGCTCTAAGCAAAAATCTGCTCAAATTAAAGTTCTTGTGGGTTCTCACAACTAACGTTGGTGTTTCCTGCAAGGGACATACTTTACTTCCCCCAAGGCACTTGGTTGTTGTAAGACACCATCTATCTTAGCATTTCTCACCCAGCCCTTTTTCAATCCAAAGGTCTTTGGAAGATCCACTCTTACAGGTCTTTACAATTGATATTCTTGACTGAACTATCTACTTTGATGAGCTCAAACACATCTTCAATATCTCCACTAGTAGAGTCCTGTTGCTAAGTGGTTAGAGCACTCACCTTACAAGTGAGATACCTGTTTCCATTCCTGGCAGAATGAAACGTTGGGAATGTTTTCTTACTACACACGCCTCTGTTTACACAGCACTAACTAGGAACCTGGTTATTAGTTGATTGGTGGATCGCTTTCCCGCGGATAATTATCCTTCCAAAAAAAAAAAATTTGGTCATTCATTCCATGATTGTTTGTGGGACACTGCTGTGCACAAATGGCTGCTGCGTTTCGCCCACAAATATGCAGTCAATTCACTTTACATTGTATTCTGTGAAGCGCTTTGAGATGTCCAGAAGACATGAAAAGCGCTATATCAAATGCAAGGATTATTATTTATCATTATTTATCTCCTCCACTGTCAACCTCCTTCCTGCCAAACTGTTTTTTCTCAACTACTCTTAATTCTAAAAACCCTAAGCCTACCCACGGGCAGGACACTGCAGCCATATCTCGGAGGCTGTTCTAGCACCTCTCTCGTACTATATCTAGCACACAAAAAAGACGTATCACTTGGAAGGTGATCTTTCTCTTACCTTTAACCTGCTCTCTCTATACATAAATATTACAATATTTCTGTATAATCTTTAATATTGTTATTACTTCGATAGCTATTCTATTGTTCCAAATAAGTCTCCCAAAAATCCTTAACCTATCCATTCTTCTTCTCCACCACTTTTGAAATCAAGATCATTCCATACAATCTTCTGCTCCACCTCATTTCTCCTCAAGTCTCAGGGCCATCAGATGCCTTAACTCGTTTCAAGTTTTCCTTCCTCCTTCAATCTACTTTTTTTAAAAAAGTTTGGCATGATCTGATCGATATGACTGGATATTTTGATTACAGGTGTCAACTTGGTTCAATTGGTAGCATGAAACCAGATAAGGAAGAAACTTACCAAGAATTAACAAAATTAAACAAAAACAGGAAGACGAAATTCACATGGACCCAGTCTTAACCTTGCCAATTGGCTCAGCTCCAGGTGTGTGATCATGAAACCAGCTTCACGTCTCTTAACCAGAATACTGTAAAATTGAATGAATAACTCAACTTGAACTTCATCTCCACAAACAGCTTCTCCTCTAGCCCCGGCACCGTCTCAAGCGGCGTTCCTCAGGGCTCTGTCCTTGGTCCCCTCCTCTTCAATATCTATATGCTCCCTCTTGATATTATCCGCAGACATGGGGTCAACTTCCACATGTATGTGGATGACACCCAAATCTACCTCTCTGTCTCCACCCTTGACTCCAGGACCACTGCTGTCCTGACAGAAGTCTCTCAGACATCAAGTCCTGGATGAGAGCCAACTTTCTTCAGTTGAATGTCAACAAGACCGAGGCGCCTTCTCACCTCAGGCACTGACAGTATCACCATCCATGGTTGCACACTCCACTTTGCTAAGCCAGTCTGGAACCTTGGGGTCTTGTTTGACCCTCAACTAACCTTTCTACTCCAAATCTGCTCCATGATCTGCTCTGCCTTCTCCTACCTCCACAACGTCGCCCGGCTCCGACACTGTCTCACGCCGCAGGCCCCCGAAATCCTCATACATGCCTTCATTACATCGAGGCTCGACTATGCAAACTCACTGCTTGTTGGCCTCCCCAACTCCTGCCTCCACAGGCTGCAGATCATCCAGAACGCTGGAGCCCGTGTCCTCTCCTGCACTAGGCTCTGCGACCCTATCACCCCCATCCTTGCCCATCTCCACTGGCTTCCTATCACACAGAAGATACAATTTGCCATTATTTTATAAAAGAAAAGCAACAGATGGGCATGCATCAGTTGTTGCCCACCCAAGCAAATAAATATTTGTATTTAGTGTGAGCGTTTGCTCAGCCCCAACACATTCCTTGTTTATTCATGAATGTTTTGTGAAAACAGTTGCCTAAAGCTACATTTTACTGACTGCAGGGAACCTCCCGTTTCAAAGTTCCAACTTTATTTGTAGAAAATCTTGCAATTTTAATAACACTCCCACTGGTTTTGGAACCTGTCCAGCTCTTGTGTTCATTGTAATTGTTGATGTGAGTTTGGCTTCAGTTAATAGTTATATAACATTGCTCCTCTCGCCCAGCGACCTAGTAATAATTTGATAGAATGCCTTGGAGATCGAGGATCACACCAGCACTGGGTCCGAAGCCCCCAACGGCAACCAGATCCAATGCGGCGACCAATATCTACCAGCGGTGCACGGAGCCAGTGTGGGATCCTCGGCCTCGGCTAACCCAGGCGCTAACACGGCCACTTCAGAATCAACAAATCACTAGTCGGCTGCTGCATAACGTCACTTCGGCCATGACATTCAAAATTCTGAGCCGATCACACTCTCCTCCCCCATGATCCATGCCAGTGGGCTGACCACGCCACACTGACCCCCCACCACCACCCACCCCAGGTTCACTCTTAGTTTTGGCATGTGCAATTTTGCGGCTGCCATCGACCCGAGCTGCTTCTCCCAAAATGCTCCCACCCCTGTCCCCTTCCCTCCACTACACCCACTCAATCCTTCTCTCACACCGCCCTCCTTGACTTCTATTCCTGCTCGACCATCCCACAGCCTCCCTCTGCTCCAGCCGGCAAATCCTCTGTCACGCCCACCATGGCAGACGCCGCTGACCTCCAAAAGCAGCCATCCTGACTGCCCCATCCTCCGTCTCTGCCACAAGGCCCATCCGTCCCCGGGGCCAAACCTTATCCATATCCCCACCATCTCTGTCAATTCTCCCACTCCCCTCCCTCGTTTCCCCTATTCCACCAATAATAATAATAATAATAATAATAATAATAATCCTTGCATTTGATATAGCGCTTTTCACGTCGGGAGGACGTCCCAAAGCGCTTCACAGAACACACTGTAAAGTGAATTGACTATATTTGTGGGCGAACGCGGCAGCCAATTGTGCACAGCAATGTCCCACAAACAGTCTTAGATTGAAAATGACCAACTTAATTATTGTTTTTGGTTTTTGGAGGGATTATTATTAGGGGTGTGGAGTAAGGAAACTTGCCCAAGGTTTCGCCCTGACCTGCCTGGAATTGAACTCAGGTCTCTCACTTGCAAAACGAGTGCTCTAACCACTGAGCTACAGGACTCCACAAACACCAGCTGTCCCCTCTGCATCGGTCTATAAAATGTCTGCTCTCTTTCCAGGAAAACGCTCACAATCCAAGACCTCGTTGTCGATGAAAACATCGACATTCTCGCCCTCACTGAAACCTGGGACACCCCAGGTTACACCTTCCCCCTGACCGAGGCCACACCACCCGGCTATACCTTCCATCATATCCCACGACCTGACTGCCGTGGTGGCAGTATGGCTCTCATCTCCCGGTCCCAACTTGGCCTATCCCCTTACTCCGCTGGAACCTCGCCCAAGTCCACTGGCTTCCCATCACACAGAGGATACAGTTCAAGATCCTGGTCCTCACCTTCAAAGCCCTCCATGGTTTTGCTCCCCCCTACCTCTGTGACCTCCTAATCCCCTACCATCCTGCTCACTCCCTCCGCTCAGTGAGCTCCAGCCTGCTTCACGTTCCCTGCCTCACTCGCCCCACTATTGGCGGGTGGGCCTTCTGCCACTCTGCCCCCACCCTGGATTTCATCCATCCTGCAGTCCCTCAGCCTCGCCCCCTCCCTTGCCACCTTCAAGACCCATCTCAAGACCCTCCTCTTCGACTGTACTTTCAATCTCCCTGCTTTCCCCCCTGCCCTCCGCCCTCCCCAACCCCTACCCCCAGCTCGCGTCCGTAATTCTGTCTGTCCAGCGCCTTGGCCCATCCTGACGTGAAAGGTGCTCTATAAATGTAATTTTGTGGTTATAATAATAATTCTTGCATTTGATATAGCGCCGTATCACGTCTTCGAGACGTCTCAAAGTGCTTCACAGAATATACTATAAAGTGAATTGACTGTATATTTTGTGGGCGAACCGTAGCAGCCAATTAACCGCAGTAGTGTCCCACAAATAGTCGTGAATTGACTGACCATATTATTATAATATTTTCTTTATTTTGTTGAAGGGATTTTGTTGAATTAGTACAATCTAAATCCCCTGCAGATTTAAACGGTGCCTTTTGAGACAACACTGGATTTCATTGCCCCAAATCCTCGCTGGACTGTAGCTTTAACAATTCTCTATGTCTTGTAGTCTACTTGGAATAACATTTCCAAATAGAAGTCGGTATTCTCCTGGCCTGTTGCCGAGGGAGCTAAGAGGAAAAAAAGGGCAGAGAACATTATAATAATAATCCTTGCATTTGATATAGCGCCTTATCATGTCTTCGAGAAGTCTCAAAGCGCTTCACAGAATATACTGTAAAGTGAATTGACTGTATATTCTGTGAATTGA